CACTCATATTTATATATCAATTTCATGTTCTTAATCAGTAGCCGGCTTTCCTTCCATGAGCAATTGTGCGCCTGAAGTTTCAACTATTAAATTCAGGGCAAAGGAAGAAATTTACTTTATATCTGTATTCCTATTTTGATTTAAAAAAAAAAAAAGACTCATAAAGACAGAAATAATTATATTCCCACCATGAGTCAATCTATTATCACAATCCAGAGTAACTTTCTGGATGAAATAATTGAGATCACAAGAGCAACTGTGGAGGAATTCTGATTTAGTGCTGTGAGTAAATATTGCATACAAGTTTTTGCAACTGAATGATCTATGAATAGCTACTGAATCACCCGCATTTGGTTATGAGCCATTTGAAAAATTAAAGAGAACAGCCTGTAGCTATTTGTTAATATTTTTTTCCAACACAGGAGTTAATAATAATCAAGATAAGCATTTGAAATAGGAAAATACCTTTTAAAATTAATTTCACATTCTCGTATCATTCTGCTGTTAAATATGCTGATTCTCTGGAAGTTTACAAAGAAAGCAGCAAATTAAAATAGCTGTCATTTTTTTTAAAAAAAATATTTACTGGATATATAGGTTCCTCCAAATGATTCTGAGCAGACTATTATTTCCTTTTGAAAAATATTTGTATGTACCGATCTTTCATACAATACTGAGTGAGAGGTATTTCCATAGTGCAATTTACTCAAAAATAAATATTCCTGTGTTCGGTAGTCATTCACCACAACTTGTAGAAGAACTACAAGTTTCAAAGAGCTTTGAATTCTTGTCAGTTTTAATTACTTGCGTGCAAGGTAGTTTGAGACTGATGAATGCGATTCAGCTTGTAACGTCTAACAGATTACTGATCTATTTTAATGGGATTTTTATTTTATATCCGACTGTCTTTCATTTCATGGCATCTCTCAAAGATCAGGATGTGAGCAAATGCAAATGAATTGGAAGTTTTGCCTGTGGGTTTCTTAATAAGCAATTCTTGATTGGAAATTCTTGGCTTGAATGAAAAATGAGGGGGAAATTGATACAAAATATGAATGACAATATAATATTGTAATAAGGCAATTGTAAAGTGGAATTTGTCAGTGCCTTTAAGCACTTCCCTAACATTTCAATTAATTGTACATTGTGTTCCTACATGGCATATTTTGCCAGACTTGAGTTATAGGGAATCCAATTATTTTTTTAGAGAATGGAATCAGTGATTCCCAAAAGATAGGAATCTGGCAGAGGGCAGTTGGAAATCTTTTAGCCAATTTTTAGTTGTCTTAGACATAAGTCACTCTGAATTGGATGGAACTTACTTCTTTTTAATATATGTGACTGAAATCTAGGAGTATTTTATAAAGAAAACTTCCTTGTCAGATGGGAATAGATAGATTTAAATTAAAGCCCAAAGAGATACGCCTTCCAAAAGAATCCCTGCCCAATAACTTTCTGCTTTTGTTTTAAACATTATTTGTCACAAAAATGTTTTGCCACTCATGTTATGATCGATGCAGTTTCTTGAGATCTGCATTAATGATAACATACTTAATCTACACACACAGGTTGCTTGATGAAGTAACCACACCCGATTTCCAATTCTTGGCTTTTTTTTTTTTTTTCCTGAGACAAATTTAATGACTTTGGCTTTTAGCACAAGTAACAGCCTCAAAGTAAAAAAAAAAAATTGAAACTGTCACAATTTTCTTTTAAATGTTAAGTTTAAAAGCGACCTACACACCATTAAATGTCAGCGCAATCTTTTGTTTTGGAGACAGGAGAACACCTGTTCTATTAAAATGGGGTTTAAAAATACTAATTTTACTGATCGGAGTTACACTGCCATTGGTTTTACAGGAGTAGAACAGGTGAGAGTAAGACTTTAGCTATTCAAAGCACACAGAGCTTATTTCAAAATGTTACAGTCGCTGTGCCAATATGTTCCACTTGATTGGCTAAATATATTATATAACTTTTCCCCATCCTAAAATATTTATTACACAACAGCTCTGTTGGATACTTGGTAAAATGTATACAATTATTAGTGGGGGCTCTGTATTTAAAACTTTTTGCATTAGCCACAGTCAATGTTAAATTATTTCTAAACACAACCTTAGTGGGCTAACAATTGAAAAAAAATTATCCTTTGATCAAATTGGGATTAGTAGGATTTTTGGTTCCATTAAACTCAATACACTTTTTGAACACATTTTCATTTCTTGTCCCAAAAGAGAACAAATGGATTAAAATATTTTCTGATTCTCCAATTACACACTCGCTGATTTTCAGGGACAGAATATTTCCTAATGAAGTATTTTAGAAAAGCGTGGAGAAATTGGCCTGGGTAGCTTCATAATAAAAGAAATATATTTGCCCCCAAAGATTTAAGCGAACTGGGTCTTGCAGTTTAATACTTGAATAAAGTATTAGTGAGTTTACATCACATTTAAATCATAGGCATGTCAACGGATCAATCTTTACACCCAATGCTTGCAAGATCATTGTAACTAATCGGTTTCTATTTCAGTTAATCTTATTTCCTAACAAGGAAATAAGTTGCAATCGTCTTGGAATTGGATTACATCCTCGAAGACAATGGGACACTTTATTTATTATATAGAAATCCCACGCGTCTTTCAAAGCAACAAAGCATTTCTTTATATTTTAACCTGATGTTAACTCTGCAAATTAAATTAAGCCGGGCAAAAGGTTGAATTCACACACTATGTTAAGATTTAGGATGTTTTCCTTGATGTTGGCTTGGCGGGATATGTGAACCTACCCTTCGTTATTTATAAATCTCAGTTTATATCTTAAACCCAACAATTTGGGGTTGATTTAGCAAAATGGCTTGGTAGGATACCTGAACTCGAGTTTCATTGATTTGTTATTCTAATAAACTTCAGAGCTAGAAAAAAAAAAGAGCATTTCAGTGTGTCTTGGCTTGAACAAAATGCAGCCACTATACTATAATAATATGAAGGCAAGAAATGGAATTGGAGCATCGACTTTTGAAGCAAGATAAGCAACTCTTTGCAAACATCTACAGGAGAACCATGCTAGAGGTCATATTTCTGAACCATATATAAAAAGATCTAATTTTTGCTTAGGATTGGAAAAGAGAAGATTTCGTGAAAGAAGATCTGTCTACAAGGACTACACTAAACCAAAGCTCTAACTGATTCCTGCTTCTTCCGGCCCAGTCCAAAGCTGCCTCAGCTCTCTTGCCAAGTTCTGTAACTGTTAAAAAAAATACTGGGAAAGCTGACTATTTTATGGGAAGGAAATGAAAACAAAACCATTCTCCCAAAGGTGCTTTTTCAAAAGGCAACTGGACTTCCTTGGTTTTTGCTTGGAGACGTTTTTGCTCCTCATCCAATTATAAGATCCTTCACTTCTTCAGTTCAGAACCAAAGAAGCTTCTTGGATGAGAAGCAAAACGTCTTCAAGGAAAAAAAACAAAAAAAAAGAAGTCCAGCTGTCTCCATAGACAAAATAATTCTCCTTATTTTAATCCCAAAATCACAACATGCAGAATTTACAATCAATCCTATTTGCTCTTCTGCATATAATCAGAAAGCAGGATGACTTTATCTTGGACTCTTGGGTTGCCCGGCTCAGCATAGAAGCTCAACTTTAGAAGACAAGTGTACATGTAGTAAGTACTAACTACGGGTGTATTGTAAGCAGCCCCATCTGAAGATCTGAGCTCCTAACAGCACTTGGAAGGGTTTATCCAATTCACCTTCCTTCCCTTACTTAAACCCTTCGCCTGGGTATTATTTCTGGGTCCTTTTTGGATCCGGAGGACAGTTGCCTGCCTGTCAACACGGAAAGACAAATGCAAGAGAGGATACACTTCTATTGTCGGCGTGGGCACCAACGGTTGGCACTTGCTGCCTTTGAAGTCATAGGAGATATAACAGGGTAAGTGACAATTGGGAAAACATTTGCTTGCCAAGCATTTGACAAACAGACTTATTGAGAATTATTTGCTTGATTGATCTGCCCTAATCAGAGGGGTTGGTTTCTAAAGTTCCTTCTCACACTCGGATCTTAGTTTCGGGACTGGGAATGGGGGTGGAGAGCAAATGAGACTTTCTCTGAAACACAGATAATCTCTCCAGTTGCTGATCCCAAATCCTTGGCAATAATCTCGCTTTGCGAGAGATTACCCTTAATAATTGTGTGTGCGCGTGTGAAACTCTCTTTGCTCCTGGTAAAATTCAAAGTGGGATGCCTGCAACCAACTGACTGAATATTCGTTTCAGGTAAATCTGTGCCCCCCCCCCACACACACACCTGGTTTGCTTCTCAGAGGGTTACAGCTGGACAAGTAATACGACAAGCACTGTGTATGCCACTTTCCATTAAAAGCCTTCCTTGCTTTAAAGACCACAAACATTGACATTCAATAGCGACAGCGCCCCTAAAAAACTATTTCTAAGGGAAGAGTTTTGCGGCTTCTTTGGCAAACAATTTGCAGAGAGAGAGAGAGAGAGAGAGAGAGGAAGGAAGGAACAAAAAGAAGGGAGGAAGGGAGGAAGGAAGGCGAAAGGAAGGAGAAAGGAAAGGAAGGAGAAACGAAGGAGAAAGGGAAGCAAGGAGAAAGGTAAGGCAATTGAGAGAAAGGAAGGGAAGGGAAAAGGAAAGGAGAAAGGAAATTGAGAGAAAGGAAAGGAAGGGAAAAGGAAAGGAGAAAGGAAATTAGCAGGAGAGAGGAGAGGAGAGGAGAGGAGAGGAGAGGAGAGGAGAGGGAAGGAAGGAAGGAAGGAAGGAAGGAAGGAAGGAAGGAAGGAAGGAAGGAAGGAAGGAAGGAAGGGAGACAGGAGAAAAAAAGGAGAGGAGAGGAGAGGTCTCCATCCATCCTTAAGCTTCCTTTACCTGGACCCCCGAGGCAGGATCAGAACCCCGCAGCCGGGCTGTCCCCCCACCCCCACCCCACCCACCCACCCAAAAAAGCTTCGTCCTTCTCGAGTGGGGAGAGAGCCTCTTACCGGTGCAGGAGTGCAAAGCTTTGGGCCGGACGACCAGCGAAGGGCAGACGGAGTAGAGCGAGAGCTTCTCGAAGTAATCGCACGTCTCCTTGGAGAGGATCTCGTCGATCATGAAGGTCTTGTAGCGCCGCCTGGCTGCTTTCAGCTGCTGCCCGGGAGAAGGCAGCCGGAGCCCGCCTTGGCAGTGCATGGCGGGTGGGGGGTGGGGGGGGAAGAGGTAGAAACCCGGAGGGACCGCCGGACCTCGGGAGGTGAGCGAGGAGGAGAAGAAAAGCCCAGCAACAGGCGGCCGCGGGGATCCACGGATCCAGTGATCCTGCCTGCCTGCCTGCCTGCTTCTCTCGTAGGGTTGACTCTCTGCCTTGCTTGTTTACTTGCCTGCCTGCCAGCCGCGCTCTCCTCCTGCCTTCCCCACCTCCAGCCTCTATATAAGCCTCGGAGAGAGCGAGCCGCGCACCCAGCCCTTCCTCACAACACCCCAGCTGTCAATCAAAGGCGCCTATCATCCGCAGCGACCCCATTGTTCGACCGCGGGCTGTGCGGGAGAGCGAGTCATCTCTCTATTTTAAGAATCCGAGGTGTGGATTGGCTTCCCCTCCCTCTTCCAGCTGGAAGAAGGCCCAGGGGTTGGGGTGAAGGCTTGGCTGTGTTAGTGTGTGTGTGTGAGTGTGTGTAAGAGAGAGAGAGAGAGTGCGTGTGCGTCTATGTGTAAGGGAGGATTCACTTCCCCGCCTCTCCTATTTTATTTTATTTTTTTTGGAATTTTTTTTTTATTTTTAAACAAAACTTCAAACATAAAACGATTATCATCCCTTACAATGACAGAAAGTGTATTGATCGGTTACAAATCTTTTGTGCTTAATCCTCTATCCCACATATTCTTATATAACAGTTTATTACATTATTATTCTCATTTACCAACTATTTAACAGTGAATTGTCCTCTATAAGGGGGAAAAAAACCCCTTTATGTTTTATTATCTTATCCATTTCATATTTCCTATTTCATTTCCATTCTTTCTTGCCTAACCATTGATAAAATAAATCCCATATCAAATAATATTGTTTATCTTCTTGTTCCCTAATTTCAAATGTCAATTTACTCATTTCAGCACACTCCAAAATTTTCTTGATAACGTCGTCATCCGTGGGTATCTTCTCATTTTTTTTTTTTAAATTTGATTTATATGCCGCCCTTCTCCAGAGACTCAGGGCGGCTTACAGTGCGTTAAGCAATAGCCTTCATACTTTTGAATATTTTTATACAAAGTCAGCTTATTGCCCCCACAATCTGGGTCCTCAATTTACCTACCTTAGAAAGGATGGAAGGCTGAGTCAACCTTGAGCCTGGGGAGATTCGATCTTACTTTAATTGCAGACAGCTGGTGTTAAATTACAGTGCTTAGTCTGTTGAGCTTTCCAGGCTTCTATGCATCTTCCCTCCCGCTTTTGCAGCAGAAGCTGGGGGAAAAAACAACAACGAACCTTTAAAGTCTCCATTGGAGACATAAAGGGGTCCCCGGAAGCCCTGGTGGACTTCGATTTGTTGTTGTCAGTTGCCAAGTTGTGTCCGACCCATCGCCATCCCATGGACAACATTCCTCCAGGCCTTCCTGTCCCCTACCATCCTCTGGAGTCCATTGAAGCTCAAGCCTTCTGCTTCAGTGACTCCATCCAGCCACCTCGTTCTCTGTCATCCCCTTCTTCTTTTGCCCTCCATCTTTCCCAGCATTAGGCTCTTCTCCAGTGAGTCCTTCCTTCTCATTAGGTGTCCAAAGCATTTGAGTTTCCTCTTCAGGATCTGGCCTTCTAAAGAGCAGCCAGGGTTGATCTCCTCTGGGACTGACCAGTTGGATCGCCTTGCAGTCCAAGGGACTCGCAGGAGCAGGGGTGAAATCCAGCAGGTTCTGACAGGTTCTGGAGAACCGGTAGCGGAAATTTTGAGTAGTTCAGAGAACTGGCAAATACCACCTCTGGTTGGCCCCAAAGTGGGGTGGGAATGGGGATTTTGCAATATCCTTTCTCCAGGAGTGGGGAGGGAATGGAGATTTTGCAGTATCCTTCCCCTGTCATGCCCACCAAGCAACGTCCACAGAACCGGTAGTAAAAAAAATTTAGATTTCACCACTGGGCAGGAGTCTTCTCCAGAACCATAGTTCAAAAACCTCCATTCTTTGGCGCTCATCCTTCCTTATGGTCCAACTTTCACAGCCATACATTGCAAATGGGAAAACCATCGCCTTGACTATGGGCATTTTTAGTTGGATCCGAATTATGCCAAGCCACAAATAGGCTCCAGTCGATAGCGCTGATACCACCCCCGTTCTGCTTTTTTTCCCAAGGGAAAAGCAGAGGGACTCTACACTCAGGTGAAGTTCAACACGGGGTCCTGGCTTAACCCAGCTCAATATAACGCCCAGGGCCTTAACAGGTGCCCTGACTGTGATCCGGTCCCGTTTCAATGATTTTTGGGTGGGCCGGTTAATATTTGCTTCCCAGCAAACGTGCGCAAATCCCCAAGGGATGGAAGGCTTGCAGGAATCGTTGGGAAAGGGAGGTCTTCGGGGCCGAGTCCGCTAAAAGAAGAGAACCTTGGCCGGAGCATCAGATGGTCTCTGAGTATATGGAAGTTGTTTTTGTAATGGAAACATCCCATTCTTTGTTCTTAAGGATATCCTAGCAAATAACTATAGTACTTTGTAGCATTGTACACATACATACATACACACACGCGCGCAGGCACGCACACAGAAACTGTGGGTTCTAAAACAGTCCTATTAGCCACAAATGGGTTCTGCGGGTAAATAGGCTTCGGTGTGAAATCATCTCAAGGGATGAGATGCGCCCAGGCGCAATCCTACACATCTGCCTGCTAAGTCTTAACTGAGCTTGGAGGAACCGACTTCGTAGACTTGGACGTCTAAAAGAAACGAGAAAGCTTTTCCCACCCACGGACTTCATCCAACGATCCAACCCTTTGGCGATTCAGGATACTGAATGTGCACTCCAGTCAGCCACGATCAAGAGAGACTCAAGGTCCGAAAATTTGCAAAACCAGCTTGAATTTTATTCGGCTTCCTGGGATTTCCTTCCCACCACTAGCTCGAGGGTCGGAACCGGAATTCCATTCCTTTCCTTTCCTTTCCTTTCCTTTCCTTTCCTTTCCTTTCCTTCCCTTCCCTTCCCTTCCCTTCCCTTCCCTTCCCTTCCCTTCCCTTCCCTCTCTTCTTCCTTTCCTTTCCTTTCCTTTCCTTTCCTTCTATCTCTCTTTCTCTTTTTCCTTCCTCCCTCCCTCCCTCCCTCTCTCTCTCTTTCTCTCTCTCTCTCTCTCATCTATCTATCTATCTATCTATCTATCTATCTATCTATCTATCTATCTATCTATCGGCTTTATCGATGTTAAGGCTTATGTACATTGTCAGCGCTCTGCTCCTGGATTTTCGATATCTACGCGGGAGCTGCGAGGTGCAAAAGCGGCGTGAAAAATCAACCGATCACGCTCTCGCTCGCTCCCGCGCAGGCAGCTCCCGCAAAAAAAACAAACAAACAAAAAAAACGCGCTCTTCCTTTGCGGGGAAAGAGCCCCCAGTAGCCGATTCAGTCAATAGCCAACCTTCTTCTCCACTTCAGGAGCTGCAGGCAGGTGAAGCCAAACCTTTAACAGCCTTCAATTTTCGTTCCTTTCCTCGGCTCTCGGCTGGCTTCGTACGGAGTTGGCTTTTGACAGCGCGCCTCGGGGAGCGCGTCTCTTCCCTCCTCCGTGGGCTTCGGCTCCGGGACTTTTGCAAAGGTCCCCAAATCCTGGGACGGAAGGTTCTTTCAGGGTGCAGCTCCCTCACGTAGCACCCCGGGACCAGGAACTCTTCCCCCACTCCCCTAATATATGACACACAAGGTAAATAGTCCGGTAATCGGGAATCTAGGAGGAAAACCTAACCAACTCTTCAAATTATTCCCCGGGCTGTTTTAGCGGTCAAATTGCACTTGGAATGGATGAAATCAGGTTGCACTTATGGGGTCCGCTTTGGACGGGACCCCCCACCCCACCCCCATTAGATGCAGTCAGGGACAATTTTGACCCTTCTTCGAGAATAGCCTGGAGTTTTATGGACGGAGCAATTCCTCCTCTATATCCCTCCTCCACCTCCTCCGGGTAGAAGCCACCGGACTTCCCCGCAACTCGCACCCCACCACCTTCCTGCGACCACGGAGAAAACCCCCAATCCCAGATTTCTCGCGCTCCGCTCGACGTTCCCGTTCCACGCGTTGCCCTATTAGCGCGTTGCAGTATTTCCCCAAAACCATTTTGCGCCAGGGAACGGGGCTTTTCCAGCCGTTCCCTTCGCCTTGAATGTTTTTCCCCCCACTCACCCACCCCCCTTCTTCCGCACCCATTCAAAGAACACGTTGCTCTCCCTTCTTTGATCCTTACTCTCTTCTCCTGCTTTTAAGCAGCCTCCAGGCTTGGCCGCTCTTCCTTCCTGTCGCGTTTTTCTCTCGAAAACTTTCTAAAAAAACACCCTTCCCCCATCAGAAAAATGGCCCTCCGCTCTCTAGTAGGGCTAAAAAAACCTCAAGCAAACGGGAAAAAAATAATAATGTTGTTTTAAATTTCTCCTTCCAAGGTGGATAAGTGGCTGGGTGAATAGTATTTTATTTATTCCGTGTGGATAAATAATAATAATGACCCGGATTGTGGGGGCAATACTCTGACTTTGTATAAAAATTATTTTTATATGTAAAATAATAATAATAATAATAATAATAATAATAATAATAATAATAATAATAATAATAATAATAATAATAATAATAATAATAGTGTGTTGTCCCGATTGTAATTGGAGCCTTTGGAGCAATACCCAAAGGGCTACCCCGCTATTTAGAAATTCTAAATTTGCCGGACTTGAACATTTTGACTCTACAAAAAACCACCTTACTCGGAACAGCTGACATCCTCCGACGATACCTTAACAGTTCCTAGGTCCTTGGTTAGGACTCGAGCTGCTGAGCTATTAACCAGCCTCAAAGGCTGTGAATCTCACTAAAGATTTAATAATAATAATAATAATAATAATAATAATAATAATAATAATAATAGTAATAGTAATAGTAATAATAAGCTTTCCTATCTTATAACATCTCCAGCAGGTCTGCATATTTCCGTATCTAGAAATCTCTACCTGCATATATCTAGAATTCATTTGATTTCCCCGTGGTAAATCCTGTAGAAACCCACATTTAGGGAGCAACTCCGTATCGTTCACGATGGAGTCACTATAATTGCAGTGACTCTGCAATTGGGCGAAGAAGGGCAAGGAAGCCGTGCCCCTCCCCCCTCCTTTTCTTAGTTTCTTGCTGAACCGGTGGGATATCTGCCTGTTCGTTTCTTATTTTATCACTTCTGTAATTCTGCTCCTCCCAATCCAGTCCTGCCTTTGTTTACTTAACTTGGAATCCGGGCATGAAGGGATTAGGTTTATAAACTTTCATACAATGAAATCAGAAGGGGAGAGATACAACATGAAATAATAACTTTCCGATCCAAGCCGACAGACATCTGGCCCACAGCAACACGCCTGACATGACTATTGCGGAAAAGAACAAAGGGGGGGGGAAGTCAAGTTCATTGATATTGCAATATCAGGTGATGCACCAATCGAAGAGAACCAGCTAGGAAAAAAAACAAAAACAAAATATTGTGATTTACAAATAGAAGTTGAGCGATTGTGGAGGAAGAAATCAACGATGGTACCAATAGTAATTGGAACCCTCGGAGCAATACCCATGGAAATTTTGAATTTATCAGACCTGAATATTCTGACTTTGCAAAGAGCCACCTTACTCGGAACTGGGTATGTACTTAGACATTACCTTAACAGCTCTTAGATCCTTGGTTAGGGCTTGAACTGTTAAGATTTTAACAGTCCCAGACTGTGAATCGAATTAAAGATTAAGTTATTACTATTACTATTATTTTCTTTTTATACACAGCAAACGTGCTGGATTTCGTATCCCAAATCACTAGTCGAACACTTCCCAAGCGTTTAGGGCTGCGTGATGTATCATTATGCGAGCAGATCCCAGTAAGGTGGCCTCTGCAGCTGACCAATGGTGATCTTGTCAGCGCCAATTGTTTTTAAGTGCTTGCCTAGGTCTTTAGGCACAGCACCCAGTGTGCCAAGTACCACTGGGTCCACCTGCACTGGTTTATGCCAGAGTCTCTGCAGTTCGATTCTCAAATCCTGATATCTGGTGACTTTTTCAAGTTGTTTCTCATCGATTCTGCTGTCACCAAGTATGGCAATGTCGAGGATCCACACTTTTTTTCTTCTCCACAATCGTGATATCCAGGTTTTTTTAAAAATTATTATTATTAATAATAATTAATATTAATAATAATAATTAAATAATAATAATAATTAATAATAATAATTAATAATAATAAATAATTTAATAATAATAATAATAAATATTATTATTATTATTATTATTATTATTATTATTATTATTATTATTATTATTTAGAAATAATAATTAATAATAACCAGCCTCAAAGGCTGTGAATCTCACTAAAGATTAACTAATAATAATATAATACATAGGATGTTGGCAGCAAGCCGTATCAACCATCAGCATCAGTCAATAATATTTGTGATATATTTTGACTGAGTTTCATGTTTAATGAATAAAAGAGAATAATAATAGATAGATAGATAAACAAACAATAAACAAACAATAAACGAATAAACGAATAAAGCCTAGCCATTTAAGGCAGTTAGGAATAACGTCTGAAGTCGATTCAAAAAATCGGGAAGAAGCACCAAAGAGGGACAATCAGGTGGATCTTGTTCTCCCAAGGTTCTCTCTCTCTCTCTCTCTCTCTCTCTCTCTCTCTGTCTCTGTCTCTGTCTCTCTGTCTCTGTCTCTGTCTCTGTCTCTCTCTCTCTCTCTGTGTGTGTGTGTGTGTGTATGTGTGTGTGTGTGTGTGTGTGTGTCTGTGTGTACTTTAAAACAAGTCAAACGACACCCCCTCCTCCCTCATTGAATATCAGAAAGAGAGGAAAAGACGCAAACCTTCGAGGCGCATATTCCCCAGCCCAAAGCCACACAGCGGAGACCGAGCGGCCCCTTGTGTGTATTTTGTGTCCGCTTTGCCCGTGTGCAAACGCCGGTGCAAAAGACCCCAACACAGCCGAGAAAAGCCACGGCGCGCAAGAAGTGGGGGGAATTGCCAAATTCTTCGAGAGTAACTCCCATTGACCTCAATGGGATGGGTTTCTGGGAAAGCGAAGTGCGCGCTTCCCTTGCTTCAGAAGCAGCCGCTGGGGATTCCCCACCCCCTCTCCCCTCCCCTCCCCCTTTTTATTTCAGACCGGTCAATCCGCGTCTCAGTCAGTCGGATTGGCTTTAAATTAAAGAATATTTATATTTATTTTATTAAATATATTAAAAATAAATATATAAATATAAATAAAAAATATAAATATAAATTAAAGAACCTCTGTCTTAAAACTCTGCAGTTTTAAGTTAACAAAGTTTAGTCATCATGTGAGTGTAAAAAAAACCCCACTTCCTCTTTTAACCGCAGATTCTTTGAAATCGGCGTTGTTGAATGAAGGGAAGAGAATATCATCCTAAACCCGCAATAGATACTTGAGAGAGAAATGGATAATATTATAGATCCTATGTGGGTTAAGGATCGAACGCCAGGCTGCAATGAATTTTTCTCTATCCAATCCAGTGGTGAAATCCAATTTTTTTTACTACCAGTTCTGTGGACGTGGCTTGGTGGGCGTGGTGTGGCTTGGTGGGTGTGGCTTGGTGGTCGTGGCATAGGAAGGATACTGCAAAATCTCCATTCTCACCCCACTCCATGGGAAAGATACTGCAAAATCCCCATTCTCACCCCACTCCTGGGGGAAGGATATTGCAAAATCTTCATTCCCTCCCCACTCTGGGGCCAGCCAGAGGTGGTATATGCCAGTTCTCTGATCTACTCAAAATTTCTGCTACCGGTTCTCCAGAACCTGCTGGATTTGACCCTATAGGGGTCAAATAGGGGGATCCAGTCCCTATTTTATTCTGATTCTTCTCAAGGAAACCACCACAGATTTTCCAATAAAAGGGAAGACCCAGAAAACATTAATTTTTCTGCTTGCTCGTCTTCCCGGCTCAAACTAAACGAAGGAGAATTAAACAGGACACGGATGATAGCAAATCCTGGTTGGCATTCTGCCTTCTTTCGAGGAAGAGAAAGAAAAGGAGACTGAACTTCAGAGGCCAACGGGGATCTCCCATAAACTGGGGGTGGGGGTGGGGAAGGGACTGAATGGAGAAATTAGAATTTCTGCAAGAATACTACTTAGAAGAACAGAAAGGACGGTTGGACTAGATAGAAGACCTCCAAAGTCTCTTCCAACTCTGTTACTCCACTTGCAATTCTACAAGCCAAGGATTGTTTTTATTTAGACATTTAAATTGTAGCAGGTACGACACCTACCTTCAGATAGTACAATAAAGAAGCTTAAAATTTCCATTAACTGATGTTTTTCTAAGTTGCTCTGCTCTAAACTTCATTTCACTTTTAGGATATTTGGCAGTCTATTCAATTTACTTTTCATTTATTGTCGGCCCCAAAAACCCCCCCAAAATAACAACAACAACCCAGGCCCTTCTTCCTTATAAATATATAAATTATTAAAGAAGCGCTGGTATTTTTTGGAGTGACAGCTGGTGTCCTTGGGTTTGAGATTTCGTGAAACGGAACAAGACAACTTGAGAAACGAGGCACAGGGAAGGTTGTGTAAGGGGATTTTTATTTTATTTTATTTTATTTTTCTTCTTCTTCTTCTTGGAATTGTGCTTGAAAGTTTTCTTCGCCCTGCGGGCAACTTGATCAAAGATCCGGAGGACGAAGAAGGCTCAGCGCCAACTCCTTCTCACGTTCACCGGGGTCATTCCTTTCCCCAACTTCCATTCTCCTGAAATATACAGGGCGTGTTAAATCTCAATTCCTTCTAAGCAAACGTTCTCCGACTTGAGGGAGGGAGGGAGGGAGGGAAAGAGAGAGAGAGAGAGAGAAAGAAAGAAAGAAAGAAAGAAAGAAAGAAAGAAAGAAAGAAAGAAAGAAAGAAAGGAAGGAAGGAAGGAAGGAAGGAAGGAAGGAAGGAAGGAAGGAAGGAAGGAAGGCTGATTTTGTGCTTGCTTGGAAGGCACGTTCAGCTGATAGAATCGATTTTAATTTTTAATTTATTTATTTATTTATTTATTTATTTATTTATTTATTTATTTATTTATTTATTTATTTTTTATTTATTTATTTTAAATCAGAGATGCCAGAGAAACAAACGATCAAGCCAACCTTCCATTTCGCCGCAGTTTGATGGAGATGATTTCACATCCATTATTTTTCCTGTCTGCATACAGTACGTGCGTTCTTCGGACTAATTCCTTCTCTGCATACCATAAAGCTGTTAAGCACGGAGAGAAGTAGACGGGGTGGGGGTGGGGGAGGAATCAACATTATCAGACAGAAGGAGAATGGAATTGGAAGGATTTCTGCGTAAATCTCCCCTTCCTTTTCATGGTTTTTAAATAAAGTTGTTTCTTTTTCTATTTCAAACCCTCTCCTATCTAAAACAAGGATCTCCAACCCTGGCAACTTTAAGCCTGGAGGACTTCAACTCCCAGAATTCCCCAGCCAGTTGGCTGGGGAATTCTGGGAGCTGAAGTCCACCAGGCTTAAAGTTGCCAGGGTTGGAGACCCCTGATCTAAAAGGTTCATTGGAATATTCCATCACTTGCTTTAATGAGTCCAATTTTCAGCCATTGATCAATGACTTTTTCTTTCTGTGTGATCAAAACAACTAGAATAAAGTCACAAACCTTGTTGATCACTCTTCTCTTGATGTGCTTTGGTGTTTGCGTGCATCTATGTATATGTATCCCAGCAACTGTTCAGCTTTTTTAAAAAAAAAAAAATGTATGGAGTATTCCCCAATCAAAAGTGAACCAATTACAGTGCAATTTTACTGGCACAAACAAACATAAATATTTTGCTACTGGGAAACACTTGCGGATTCAGATTGAGGGTAGAAAACATATCCAAACGTATGCGTGCGCTTTTAAATTTAATTTTTAGTTTCAGGAAAATGAAGAGCAAGCATTCTACACTTTATAAAATACCCTTTATAACATGCAATCAGTATAAAATTGTTACACATCGGACTCCTTTATTCCATTCATAAATTCTACTTATCATTTTTTAAAAAATATTATACAAAGTGACTTCGGACAATCTAACACATCTTTGTTTCTGATAATTTTACACATTGCTGGAATTCTTAGTATCCTGCATGGCACATTTTAACTCTCACAGATCCGCAATACAGTAGCTGCAGCTGCACTGATTCAGTATTGATGAAAGATAGTAATAATTATAATAATACTATAAAGATCAGCAGTAATATTTTAAGATGTCTTATATTTGCTTAATATTTTTGCAGTCTCTTTTAAACCACGTTGTGCACCTGTTGTACAAAAGTAAAAAAAGTTGCGAGAAAGACTGAATAGTACAAAAGTTTCAAAGAATGAAGTGGAATTTTTAGTCTTTATTTCTCCCTTGTGGTTTCTTCTCTCTCCCTCTCCCTCTCCCTTCCCTCTCCCTCTTTCTCCTTCCCTCCCTCCCCCTCCCTCCCTCCCTGTCTCTCTCCGAAAATAAGGAGCTATGCCAGTTAGCCAAACCAAAATTCACACTCCCTTATCGTGTGTTTTTCAAGGGGCTGCATTTAAACATGGTCTGGAAACTTTGACTGGTTTTTCACAAGAGTAGCTTATTTGATTGATTGGTATTAGGTTAGTCCTGTCTTCTGTAGTGGTTGCCAGGTGGTTTCCAGACCTCAATTGCTGGCATTAAACTCTAAAGTCAGGATGGGCGAGCTTTTTCCAGCCAAGAATCACATCCAATCCTCCAGTTGCTTGCTAAGGCACCCTACACCAAAACACAATGGACAGGACTTGGGCCCAAAAAATAGAATTTTGTTACAGTCAGATGCGATGCAATAGATTTCAGTTACACTCAGATGCGATGCAAAATTCGTAGACAATACAGCTACGCTCCATTCAGATATTTAACTCGTTGCTTGGTGTTGTGTTCGAAATTATAACTTGGTAACAACTTCTGACAGCTTGTAAGGATTGCATACAAGCCTGGGGAGGGAGAAAGTGATAAGCCAGCCCAAAGCCTCACAGCTGCTTGTTTGCCTGAGACACTCTGAGGCCATTGTAGTTTTTCCTGCCTTTGGGCAGCCACTTAGTTAGTTGGATCCCATGTGGTTCTGGTTGAATTTAGAATAAAGTGAGTTTTTATCATGAGGATCTTTTCCTAATGTTGATTAGCAACAGCAATAATACTTAGACTTATATACCACTTTTTTTTTAAATTTGATTTATATGCCGCCCTTCTCCGGAGATTCAGGGCGGCTTACAATGCGCTAAGCAATAGCCTTCATCCTTTTGTATATTTTATACAAAGTCAGCTTATTGCCCCCACAACTGGGTCCTCAAGTTACCTACCTTAGAAAGGATGGAAGGCTGAGTCAACCTTGAGCCTTGGCGAGATTCGAACCTGCAGTAATTGCAGGCAGCTGGTCTTCATAACAGGGTGCTTTAGACCACTGTACTACCAAGGCTCTTTTCTGTGAAGAACTTCACAGTGCTTTAAAACCCTCTCTACGTGGTTTACATAGTCAGCCTGTGGCCCCCAACAATCTGGATCCTCATTTTACCCACCTTGGAAGGATGGAAAGCTGAGTCAACCTTGAGCCTGGTGAGATTTGAACTGCCAAATTGCAGGCAGCCAGCAGTCAGCAGGAGTAGCCTGCAGTTTTGCACTCTAATCACTGTGCCACCATAGTCCGTCCGTCCGTCCTTCCTTCCTTCCTTCCTTCCTTCCTTCCTTTCTCCCTTCCTTCTTTAGCAATAGCACTTAGACTTATATACCGCTTCACAGTGCTTTGTAGCCTTCTCCAAGCGGTTTACAGAATCAGCCTATCACGCCCCCCCCCCCCCCCAATCTGGGTCCTTATTGACCCACCTCGGAAGGATGGAAGGCTGAGTCAACCTTGAGCCTGGTGAGATTCGAACTGCCAAATTGCAGGCAGCCTGCAGTCAGCAGAAGCAGCCTGCAGTACTGTACTCTAACCACTGCGCCACCATGACTCATCCTCCCTCTCTCCCCCAAACTTAGACTTGCACCAACTCTGCTGGACTTTGACAGGTTTAAAAACCCGGCTTTGCCATCAAGCATGGGAAAACTGTTAGAATAGATGAACCCATATCATGGTTAGCTGGACTAGGTTGTGAGTCTTCTTGGCTGCTTGTTGTTATTAGTTGCGAAGTTGTGCCCGATCCATCGTGACGCCATGGACAATGTTCTTCCAGGCCTTCCTGTCCTCTACCACAAGGAGTCCCTTGAAGCTCACGTCGACTGCTTCAGTGACTCCATCCAGCCCCCTTCTTCTTTTGCCCTCAATCTTTCCCAGCATTAGGCTCTTCTCCAGTGAGTTTTGGCTGCTATGTTTATGTTATTTTTGTTTTATTTTTAAAAACCCAAAACTTTGGTTTTCTTGTACTGGTTTTATTCTACTTGTGGGCTGCCCAGAATCATGTGCATGGGCATACTATAAATTTACTAAATCAATCAATCAATCTGTTGTTAGCCATCCAGAATTGCTACAGTAAGAGAGTTGAGCATATAACTCAAACAAATAAAGTAAATAAGCTACTTTTCCAAAATTTAATTGCCTGGACTTAGATCTTCTTGAGAAACCTTCACTCTAAGGAAGTCAGATGAGTGGCTATAAAATAATAATAAAAAAAAAGCATTTCAGAATTGGATTCTATGAAACTCCCTCACCAGAAAAATCTTTCCTAGAGTCTACATTGGGGTCCCTTCAAAATCAGGTGAGGATATATATATATATATATTTAATTTTGATTTATATGCCGCCCTTCTCCGGAGACTCAGGGCGGCTTACAATGCGCTAAGCAATAGCCTTCATTCTTTTGTATATTTATACAAAGTCAGTTTATTGCCCCCACAAACTGGGTCCTCAATTTACCTACCTTAGAAAGGATGGAAGGCTGAGTCAACCTTGAGCCTTGGCGAGATTCGAACCTGCAGTAATTGCAGGCAGCTGGTCTTAATAACCAGCTTAATAACAGGTGCCTTAGACCACTGTACTACCAAGGCTCTTTGCAATCTGGTAGAATTTTGAAAGGAAGGCCCACAAAACTGCTAGAAACAGGATTAACAATCCCTGCAATGACTCTTCCAAAACTGAACAGAAGAGGATGACATTTGGTGTGGTGGAAGCCACAGTCCTTATCAAGATATGAGTCTGAAAATGAGCTGACTACAGTCACAGATTGTGGAGATCAAAATCCAAGGGGAAAAAGTCCTCTAGATATCCTGATAGGAGAAGCAGTAGGGCAACAGATCAGAATGTTATTGACTGCTCCATCCTAAGTCCCCTTTTCCTTCCCTCCCAACAATTTGACCCAGGACAAATCTGCCCTTCAGCAGTTGGAAAGAAATTTGGAAGCCATGCTCTGTAAGGTTTTCTCTGTGTTATGCTTTCAACCCAATGGTGGGATTCAAATTTTTTTATTACTGTTCTATGGGCGTGGTTTGGTGGATGTGGCAGGGGAAGGATACTGTAAAATCTCCATTCCCAACCCCACTCCAAGGGAAGGTTATTGCAAAATCCCCATTTCCTCCCGATCAGCTGGGACTTGGGAGGCAGAGAATAGATGGGGGTGGGGCCAATCAGAGGTGGTATTTACCAGTTCTCCGAACTACTCAAAATTTCCACTACTGGTTCTCCAGAACTGGTCAGAACCTGCTGAATCCCACCTCTGTTTCAACCCCTACCACAAAGGTTGGAAAGAGATTGCATGAAGAGCTAGAGAGGCTCTCCATAACTTGCCCAAAGTTCAACAGAATGGGATCAATCTTGTGTTGGAGGAGAAGGCAGGAAAAGAAGGAAAGACTATCACTGTAGGGTCCTTGATGGTCTCTGAACTTGGTGGTTTTCTTGTAGACATTTCATTACCAAACTACCGTAGGTAACCTCATCATTACCCATTTCATTTGATAATGAAACCTCTGCGAGAAAACCACCAAGCTCAGAGACCACCAAGGACCGTACCGTTCAACCCTGAGCTACAAATATTCTCTTCTATCATTATTGACCAAATCAAGTATCTGCTCCATTCTAAGTCCCTCATTCTTGGCGACATGACCTAAAATGGAATCTATGCAGTTTACATTGCAATTTCAGACCGTAAATAAGCACACATAGAGAAAACACACAAACATCACATTATTTTTTTTACACAGAAGTAAATACAAACACCTCCTAAGACCACTATTAGTTAAAGAGCCTGGACAATTTTC